ATCATAAACACTGAAATGGATGTACAAATGGGGGCAAAGCTGGTCATTATCTAGAGGGAATAATCAATTGCACCCCATCCAGACAAAATTTATTTGTATTCCTATAGACAAGAATAATTTGCAGTACTATCAGTTTTTAAATTCTTTCACTATTTTTCCTTAGAGAAAATGACAAGAATGCCTGGACACTTCCTGTTTAGCACTCATCAAAATATCCCTCTGGCAGGAGCAATGTGGAGAAATTGTTTAACCATTTTATACAAACTACAGTATATATCACGTGGTATGCATACTTAGAGGACAAGTATATTTTATTACTGTCTATGCGTGTGTTCCACTTGTTTCCCTTGTAGTGATGGTTATGAAGCATTAAAGGGGTTATTCATCACCATTTTTTTTTGTGCTTTGGAAATCGTGACAGCCTTATCCTGTCCTGTCACATCAGGACTCCCCTACAGGACACCAGGATTGGAGAAGATCACGTCTTATTCAAATTGTTCCTACTTAATTGTACTTCATTAATTTTTCTCGCTCCTTTCTTTGTTCACGACATTACGTCTTTTCTTCCAGTCTAAACCTGACAGCTCATATTTTAGTACTGGTCATTGATGATATGCTTCTAGCTTATCACCAGCTTTTTGGAGCTCTCTCTTTCAGGAACAATATTTCCACAGGTTTACCCACCAGTAACAACGTTTAGTTAGAAAATTTCCATTCCGTGTTCTTTTTTCAATGGATATCTTCATGCATCTTAACCAGCTTCAAGGTTTGGACCTGGGCATCGGCATTCCTAGCTTATTTGGCTGCAGATCAGTATTATTTTTCCAGGCAGAAATGTCAGCATTTGCTTTCCCTTTAAATAAAAGGATTACCAATCAGGAATGAATAACTATCTCCAAAACCCCCACTAGGGGAAAGGAACCAGAGGGCCAGAACTAATAAATAACTTATCATGTTCGTTTTTGGCTCCATAGTACTAGGCAATCTACCCAGCTTGCCAGATGGAAATAATTCAACATTGTGTTAATGAGATAAACACCAGGGGAAGAAAACACTTTAAAAAAATGAAAGAGAAAATAAGGGAGAAAATGAAAATTAGAACAATTATGCATTTCTTTGAAATAGGGTGATAAATGTTCTTATTTCTTCCCATGACATCTGACACATGCAGGAATCACTGCCAATTAGCCTGAAGTCAAGTGAGATTTGAAGTATCATCACGTATCAGAATGGCCTGTGTAAAGCTGACGTCTTGGTGAGCGGGGTTCCTGGTGAACGGTTTTCTTCCTTTGGGGGACCTGCTTTGCCCAAATCACGTAATTCACAGTTTACTCGGTTATTGGATTGAATGCATCCAGTTAGACTGCTATGAAAATCATGTCTAGGTTTAAATATCCTTTTCTTAGCAGCTAAGATATTAAAAATTTTTACAAGAGTAGGGTGGCGAAAAATACCCTGCGCATTCAGATCAACACCCCTTGTTAAAAAGGATTTTTCCAATCCCCCTCAGGTAACGCGGAAGAAAGCAATCAAAAGCTTTACAGCAACCACACGAGGGAGAGATGAAACGACAGCTGAGAGGTAAACCAGCCTTTTCTACCCAAGGTTTCAGAGCACATTTTAAAATATCACCCTACCCCTCTCACACACAAACTCCAGGGAAGGGGGTTTAAGAAGTATAATGATAAAAGTGTACCATAAATAACCACATTTTGGAGGAAAAAAGAGGGAAGAATAGCTATTTCTCCCAAAGCCTAAGATTGAGCCGAAGTGTAGAGCGCAGATTAAAAAAAGAAACGTTAATTGTTTCATGTGAATACATATTTGTACTGTCAAAATAAAAGGCAAATTCATCCGTTATCTTACCCTAAAGATGAGTTTTATTCGGCAATAGCCAAAAGAATTGCAATTCAGGATGTGCATGCTCTGGCAAACCACAGGCAAGTCTGGAAAACAAAAGTGGGGAGCTGCTTTTATAGAGAAAAAAGGGCACATTGTGGGGGCTGTTCTAAAGGAAGTTCCACTGGGGGATAGTAACAGTTCAGGGTGGCAACGGCTTCTCATTGGCTGGGCTGCGGGCTGTGGTTTCTCATTGGCTATGCTGTTGCCCGGGTCGGGAGAGAAGTCTTGCTTCTGTAGTAAAGTAGTTTTACTCCCTGTTGAAGATGCAAGCTTTTGTCTCTTCCGGTTTGGAGTAATTGATGATGTATGATAGGATGCGAGAGCTCCCCCTACAGGCCTTCCATACTCCAATTTAGTTAAGTTTTTTTTTTTTTTTAATTCATTTCTCCACCATCAAGTACTTCAAGGGGATTAAAAGAAATTTCGCCTGCGTGAAAGCCCTTAGAAGGAGAGAGAAAGGTCATAGAGACAGCATGCAGATGAGGCTTTGGTTCTTAATAGGAAAAGTCTGGTGCCGTTGCTCTCTATTTTTTTCTACTTAAGTGGGAAGAATGAGCTAATTTGACTACAATTCAGTTTCTGTTTTTCTCTTTGCAGTACGAGAGGTTAAAGGGAGAAAATTTTTTTCCCGGGCCAATCTGACCTGCAGCTTTTGGAGTCTATGGTGATGAAACAGAACACTGAAGAACTTACTGAAATACAGCTGCATCTGAAATCTTGCCAAACATAGAGAAGTGTTTGTGTGTGTTTATGAGATGGGAAAGGCGGTGGAAGCAGAGATAAAATTGTTTCTAAGGTGGAAGAGAAGGGATGCAACTTTCCATGTCCAGTGAAGCTCATAAATATGGAGAAGAATGCAAAATTAAGAAAATACATGGTAATTTTTATTCAGATAAGCAACCAAAACGAGTGTATGTGTTCAGATTAAATTAATCAGTGTCAAATCAATTAAAGGCTTCTCCTGTATTAAGATTAGCCCTCTTTACAGAGATTTGCATGATTGGACGCTGGTAGTTGAATTGATGTTAGTTTTATCTCAAAATATAATACATTATTGAATAAAATATGACTCTATAGATTCCCCTAGCTGTTATGAACAAAGTAAATTATCTGCTATCATGATTTGATATTTTTCTCCGGGAAGTTAAACTTCCATTTGCTTTCTATTTTCTTTGGTTTCCACTAGTACAATGACTCACACTGCCTAAAAGTCAGTTTGCCTTAAAACCCTGTGAACTTGAAGCTGACTTTCCAGTAACCCTAGATCACAAAGACAAGAGAAATTCTTTAGCTAGCATTCCCCACTGTGAATTTTTATTAACTTAGAGGAAATGCTGGTTTTGACTGTCTCCTTTTCACTGAGCAATCGCTGCAACCTGACTGCAGATGTGTTTCTCTCACAAACTCTGCCCCATTGGCAATACTGCCATTGACAAATGAAGCGCTTCAGGAAGTGAAGACATTTCTAATCTTTGCCTGAATGCACCTGAGCGAACAGCAGATTTTAGTCAAGCAAATGAGTCTTGAGGATATCCCGGCCATTATAAAGCTTGCCAACTGATGCACAAGTCTGGCTCCTCCTTGGAAAATCAGGGTTCTGTCATCAACCAGACATCAGAATTCCACAGGGAACTGGAGGGGAAAGCAACTTTTGCTTTGTCTTAAAGTATTTCTCTAATAAGTGTTACGCAAATAATTCTTTAAGAACTGTACTTTTAAGGTAAAGCTATGCAGAATTTTACCAACCTAACTCGTCCACTTTTTATTTTTGCCACTTATTTTCAGTTTTTTCTAAGTTTGCTCGGTTTTAAGGCACCATTATAATGCAGATACAGTGCTTTATCTAGTTCATTTCACTTCAGCTTCTATCTTAATTATATATCGCAATGTACTAAAACAGTCTTCCGCAAAATGGAATTTAGGTTGTTTCTAATCTTTTTTTACTAATAAAAAATGTTGTTGCATATGAACACCTTTCTGACTATAAATCTCTACTTAGACTTACTTAAGTTAAATCTAAGAGACCACATAACCTTGAAAAAATTTGACAAATTACTTTCTAAAAAATGTGCACTGGTTGCTACTAATATCTTATCAGTTTCAAGACAAAGACAAATTTTCTTATACCCAGAGCTTCTCATGGACCATTTCCAACAATATTATTTCCTGATGATTAAGTGTTCTGGTATCAACTTACTATGTTATATTATAGCTTATTGGGAAATTATTTAATATATTTGGCACATAGTAGGAACTCAATTATTTTTAAATAAAATTAATTTGTGTCATGTTGGTAGACAAAATTCAGCATAACTGTAGTATCACTTATTGTAGCTTTCATTGTAACTTAAAATTAAAAAACCTCAATTGCTTCCTATCATTGGGGTTAACCTTTACATACGTCAAGTCTCAGGCACAAAATCTTCCGCTCTCTGACTATCCCCTGGTTCCATAGAAAATAGTGAATATTCTACAGTGTTTGTTATTGTTCGGGAGAGCTTCTCATTCAGAAGTCTGGATATGCCTGCTCCTAGAAATACCAATCAGAAAAGGATATGGGGACAATAGTTCTATCTGCTCATTATCAACAGCATATGCAACAACAGAGGAAGCTAAAAATAGTTACAGAGGGATTATGATCTGTTTACAGGCACATGCCACATAACGACAGTCGACTACAGACCACATACATGACAATGGTCCCATAAGATTGTAGCACATAACTTAGATGTGGAGTAGGCTATACCACCTAGGTTTGTCTGAGTACACTCTGTGATGTTCACAGAACAATGAAATCACCTAACAGACGCATTTCTCAGCATGGATCCCTGTCATTAAGCGATGCATGACTATACATAGGCAGTATAGTTTACGCACCTCTGTTTGTGCATTAAAACTTTGATTACCTGCAGCACAAGCTACTCAGGTATATAAAAAAGTGCCTACATTTTCCTGGCAATATCTACAAAACGAAAGCAGCAAAACAACTAGTGATTCAGTGGAGGGGAAAACAATCCCATCAAATCAGATGGTAGCTGTGTCAACAAAACCTTTGGCTTAATGGTCCATGCTGTGCATTGTTTTTCACCTGTTTTGGCAACTGGTTCGGGTAGTCTGGATTGTTGCATTTGCTTCTGATCGTGCTCAGACGTAGTCTCTCTCACAAGCTGTAATGTGCTTAACAAAGCAATCATTAAAGGTCTAATATATCGAGACAGGGAAAAGTAGAATTTGTTTCCATTTGTTTTTCATTATATCAGTTCTAAGTTACATTTCTACGACTATTACTTTTATTATGCATATCTAAGTACGATTATGTAATAGGTAGATAGATATTTAGATAGAGAGAGAATATTTGTGGCTCTGGCTTTTATGACTTGCTACTATTTCATTAGGTCTTTTTTTTTTCTTTTACCCCTAGGAAGGTGGACGTGTTCTTCTCCATTGACCAAAAGGCTGGAGGAGTGATTTTCCATCACCTGAAGGTCTTCAAAGCCAACGGGCAACCTTTCCGGTTGGGCAGGTAATTATAGCCAGCACTAGCTGGGCTCTCCAAACTGAAGGTTGCTGATCTTGTGGTACAAAAAATTATTTTCAGCTGTGGACAATTAACAAACTCAGCCGACCAGGCAAAAGTGCAGCCCTATTCTGCACAATTCCGCTGCCAGCACAACTCTGACAGCTATATAATTACATGGACCATAAATTACGCTCAGTAATCACCTTGTTTATAATTTCATTCCCTGTAAATTAGCAGTGTAATGAAACGAGATTTCATAACCACCAGATGCATGGCGAGCTGCTCACCAGAGACTCTGGCAATGGCTAAGAGGCAAGTCCTTCCCAAGGAGTGAGGTTTTGGTGGGCTGCTGTTTGCTGGTTATGCCATTGGCAAGTGATCCAATGCTCCAAGCTCGGAGCTGCCAGTGACATTCAGGCAGCTCCAGGATGGAAGCTGGATGATACACCAGCAGCTGCGAGAAACATGGCACCCTTTTTGAAAGGAAGCCTTTGCTTTTTAAATTTCATGCGCAACAGCTCCATTTATCAACATTTGCATGTTACCTAGTGAGTGCGAGCAGAGATTCCCCACGAGTTCATCTTAAAAATAGTGATAATGGGCAAATGTTCCACAAAAAAAGTATTCGCTTCACTGTGGGTGAGTGGTCTGTTTTTACAACATGGGGATACAATAAATGAGCAAGAAATATAACTGCATTTCCCAAGGTTATTTTTTTTCCTCCATATGGAGAAATCTTTTTTGAAAATCCTTTGTATCATGCTCAGTTGTCATGAAAGAGAAAGAAATAAGAATGTAAGTAATAAAAAGGCCGGTTGTCTTTGTTCTAGGGTTTTCACAAGTAACCCACCTTCTGAGACAAAACTCCTCACTATTTCATAATAAAACAATGACAAATTATAGTTTTTAGAATCAATAGCGTACGACTGGGAATTATACGTTTTTTAGGAGAGGAACAAATGAACAGTTGATAATTTCTGTCTTCTATTCCAAAGCCCAGACAAGTTATTTGCAAGAGATTTATTAGAACCTGAGCCATTACCGCAACAAGAATTGTGCTGCAAGGAAAAATACAAATTATCTGCCACTGCTTCTAACAGAGCTGGGAGGGGAAAAATGCATGAATCTAGAAGCTTTAATTACCTGCAGAAATGTGAGTTGGTTATGCAGTACCTATTTTAATTACCATCTGATTAAAATTAATCCCAGCCAGGAAAGGAGAAAGTGGAATAAGGAAACTGCAGTCTGAAGGTGAATATTCCAAATGCCACCAAATGCAGATGAGTAGTGCGAAGACTATCTGGTTGAAGGACATGTACAGTGAGTATCTGAAATGTGAACTATGTTTTTAGATATTTGTTGTTTCGACACATGCTTTCATATTTTCTGAACTTTTGAAGAAGTGTCATCCTTCATCCTTCTGCCAGAGGAAGCTAGATGTGGCAACATTTTCCTCAGGTAGAAGCATTTCCGGTGAAATAAAATTATTCCAAGGTGTTAGAGATATGCCTGGGACGTTGACTATAATTCTCAGTGGCTATTCCCTTCAATGACAAATCTAGAATGTAAGTGAACTGATTTATTTTATCATCTTTCCATAGTGAGATATTTGTTGTGACTTTTTCGGGGATGGAGAACAATGTAACTTCTTTGAAAGTCATGACAAATGGCCCCAAAGCCGACGCTTATGTGTAGGGTGTGTGTGTGTGTGTGTGTGTGTGTGTGTGTGTGTTCACTCACACCACCTGCCTTGATGGCAGGCATCAGGCAAACCTGGGAATATCACCAACAGGTCAAATAGCTCCTGGGCAACACTGACAGCTTAAAAACTATCTATTGTTTATGTAGACAGGTAATATACAAGTGACCTGCCATTGATAGGATTTGAACTCTGAGTTGGTTTTACATTTGAAATGATAGAGTTACACTCAAACATCTGTCCTCAGTCACTCTTTTGATGAAAGTAAGCATTTCCAAGAATACTGTCAAGAATTAGGGTATTAGCTAAGAAATAGAATAAATCAATTGATGAATACAACTCATGAAACTGCAACTTTGGTTGCCATTGTCGCCATTTAGTTCGTTAGACCTAAATGAGAAATATCTCAATCAACGTAGGTTCCATCACTACCATCTAAGTAGACCAAATCATAAATAAGTTGTTAACTAAATTTTAGTGGTTGAAAAGAGTGACAATTAAATCAAAATTCACAGAACCTACCTTATCATACACCTAAAGGAAATAAACAAAAAAATAAAAATAACAGAAAGTAAACTAGCAGCATTCAATCTTTTGAAGGGGCTAAATTCTGTATCAAAAAATCTTGAAAAATATTGTCTAGTTGTAAAGGGATAAGCAGATAAAAATTGAAAGTAGGCAATAAGAATCCACAGAAGTATCTTCCTCCATCTATCCAGCACCACCTTCCCCATCAGCACCTGCTGCCAATTACCACTAGGCATCAGCATTGTGGGGAGAAGGGGAAGGGAGGAATTAAGACGAATTTTACTAATTTGGGATGTGTCCTGGATGCGTGGCATGAAAGGAAGGGTGGTGAGTCTGTGGTGGGCCAGAGGGGAAGAGAGTGAAGCTAGAAAATGAGTAAAAAGAAAGAGAATATACTTCTTTGTTTAAGTGACTTTCTAGAAACTGACATCATTAATAGAATTTGTCATTTAGTTTCCTTCTGACACAGAGAAAGGCAACAATACTAATTATTCCCAACAATTAAATAGTTAACGATTAAATAAATATTATTTAATTTTTAAAAATGAAATAAAATGAAAAGCAAATGTAAATCTCTAGAGGTATATGTTTCTAAGGGGCAAACACAGTGTCCCAAATGAAGGCCATCTACTTGCTGTGACTAAGGAATGACACAGCAGGAGATGTCCTGGGTCCTCTTCTCTTCCCTGTTGCACTGGCTTAGAAGGAGACAGGAATGGATGCTAGGTAAACTCAAATATTAGAATCATTTGAAACCAGGATAACCATACAAATCATAGTTCTCCCACTGTCAGTGCCCACAATGCTTTATAGGACTCCAACAAGGCAATATGAAATTTAAAATATGAGAGAGCAGTGAAAATTACCCAGTGGCTATAAAACCCTTTATTCCATACCCCCCAACCACCACTAACAGTTGATAGAAAATCAGAACATAGAATACAAAACAGAATGCACAATCTTCAATCTGAAACTCTGAAGGAAAAACCCCAAGACAGAGCTCACCTAATATTTGAAGGAAGTAACACACTCACAAGACATTTGGCCAAATGCAAGGTGCAGATGAAGCAGCCTGTGTAATTAACAAATAATCTAGAAAGATATGAGAGGGTCAAAGTACAGAAATACTAGAACAAGTAACAATAGAAAGGAAAGAAGATGGAAATGGTGAAATAAAAGGAGAGAAATGGGGAAAAAAAGAGAATCAGTTCTGGGGAAAAAAAGATTTATTCTAGGAAATAAAAGAGGAAAATTTTTCAACAATAACTTTGTACTTTTCAAGGAATTAAGAAAAACACAAAATCTATGGAACTATATATAACAATGAATGGTTAAGCTAACAATAAGATAAGATATTAGAGTGTTAAGAAAGCAACTGGTCCACAATGAACAGTAGCAGAGCAAATGATTGTGTTAGAAGTAGAATAGAAATCACATGGTAGAAGGTCACATCAGTGACATAGAGGGCAGACATTAAACTATTGCTGCCAGATGAAGGTAGAAGTCTCAGTTCCCTGTTGAACCTCCATTGACACCTCAGGGTAGGATATTCTTTGTTACTATTGAGCGGAAGTAGGAGTTCTGGCTCCTTTCATGGCCCCATGGACATCGTGGTGAGAATTGCCTTACCATGTACTGCTGGGCAATAGTGAAAGTCCTGATTCTCCACTGGACCTCCTCTGACACCACCCACCTGTTGGGTGGGAGTGGAAGTCCAGGCTCCTTAAGTGGTGTCCACTGACACCAAGGGTTGGATGCTTGTTACTGGCCAGCAAGGATGAAAATTCCAGCTCCCTATGTGGTTTTCTGCCACCATGCCTGTGAGGATATTGGGGAGCTTCATTACATCCTAGTAATGGTGGAAGTCTAAGCCCTCTCACTTGGTCTTTGTTGGCATGTGTAGGGGTGGGTCCATAGTTTTTCTGTGATGATTGCCTGGAGTAGACAAGTTGTTGTCTAAAAGTTTTCCGTTTTTGCCACTCTGTCACTTTTCTAGTCCTCTAGCTAGAGAAAACAGGCTTTTTTCAGGCCTCTTTTTGTCTGTACATGTGGATGTTTCCAGTTATATGACTTCTTCAGCACCAATTCTAGGATACAGGAGACAAAAATAAAAGCCAGGAAAATCACACTGTGGTGTTCCTTGGGCCTAATGTCCTTAGCCAGTCTGCCTTCTTCTCTCTACCTTCTGGAGTCCTCTTATGTTTGTTTTGTATATAATGTTGATGCTTTTTAGCTGTGCTTAGTGGAGGGGAAAGCAAAAAGTATATATACTTCATCTTTCTGGAAGCAAAAGTTTGAACATGTTTTTGAAAGACTGAAAGTGGATGGAAGAGTGGTAGTTAACTCAGATTAGTAGAGGAAGCTGAAATTCAAGTGTTTGCAGAGGTTTCTAACAAAAAGTAAAAATATCAAGTACTGGCAAGCATGCAAAGAAGAGCCCTTATAAATCTCCTACATTGCTGTTGGAAATGCAAAATGACATTGGTGCTTTGGACAAACTTTCAGCAGTTTCTCACAAGTTAAACATACACTTATCATTTGACCCAACAATACCATTGCTAAGGCATTTGCTCAGGAGTAAGGAAAACACATTTCCCTACAAAAAACTCTAGGTGAGTGTGAATGTTCACCTGCTTATAGTAAGAAACAACTCAAAATCCATCAAGTAATAAATGGATTATAAAATTATAATACATTCAGAAATAGAATAGTACATAGCAGTAAGAAGGGGTGAACTTCTGATAAATTCAACACCGTGCCTGAATCTCAAAAGCATTCTTCTTTTGAAAGATGCAATACACAAAAGATTACCTACAATTTGACTCCATTTATGTAACATTTTGGAAAGGCAAAAATATAGAAACCAAAATCAGATCAGGGGTTGGGAAGAAGAGATTAACAAAAAAGGGGCACAGAGAAACATTTTGCAAAGATGGCAATACCTTATATATTTACTGTGATGTGGGTGCACAATTGTATCATTTGTCAAAACTCAGAACTCTACATCTAAAAAGTATAAATTTCAATGAATGTAATTTATTTATTTATTTTTTAAAGATTGGCACCTGAGCTAACAACTGTGGCCAATCTTTTTTTTTTTTTCCTGCTTTATCTCCCCAAATCCCCCCGGTACATAGTTGTATATCTTAGTTGCAAGTCCTTCTAGTTGTGGCATATGGGACGCCGCCTCAACGTGGCCTGATGAGTGGTGCCATGTCCATGCCCAGAATCTGAACCAGCGAAACCCTGGGCCACCGCAGCAGAGCATGCGAACTTAACCACTCGGCCATGGGGCTGGCCCCCAGTGAACGTAATTTATAACTCAGTGGATTTGACTTGAAAATAATGAAGTTAGAAATGAACAATAAAATCCTTAATAGAATATTTGACATGAAAATAAAAAGTTAAGATAAGTTGATGGGATGGGCACAGGAGAGAAAAGAAAATTAAATGATTAATGAGATTCAGAGTCACTGAAAGTTAATTTCAGAAAGAAAGAGTAGGTTGAATAAAGAGGAGGAACTTAAGAAAGATAATACAAGCATATTGAAGGACCTGAGTTTGCATATCGAAAGGTTTCACTGCAAAGAATAATAAATGAAAAAAAGAGACATAGCAAGGATCATCATAGTAAAATTTTAGAACAAAAGGAATAAAAAGAATACCTAAAGTCTTCCATATGAGAACATTTTAAAAATAAAATAAACAAAGCTTGAACATATAACAAAAACTGTATCAAAATTACACTGGTCCTCTGGAGCACAGCATGCAACCTCGTAAGAACGAACAGTGCCTTGTGAATTCTAAAGAAAAATTTGTGCTAATTTATGATTCTATAGCCAGCTAAATTATCAGCAAAGGTAAACATATTCATGAGGTTAAGACCTGAAACAAAGTTTACCACTGATTAAAGAAGAAGCTAAAGTATCCAGGAAACAAGAAATCTAATAGCAGACAGAGGTAAAGAGAATTCCAAGGATGAGGTTAAAGAAAGTTTCACATTACGTTGAGACTGTGTATGCCTAACAAGCAACTAGTTAAGTTTAAAGCAGGAGGATGTAGAACTCCAGAGGGGAAATATACAGGTAAAGTCTTTGGAACAATTACATTATCTGATATATTTCACCATTTGATAGTTAGTATTGGAATTCTATTAGAGAGGTTGGAAACAATTACTGATAGGTATATAGAAAGCTAAGAAAATTAAAACTCAGGCAAGTATTAGCTCCAGGAAAAAAAAAACTTGTTTATGACATGTAATTTAATCTTAGTACAAATACAGCTTGACAGAGCAATGAAAATTATTTACATAGTCAAAAATAAGGTACACAGTGTATACTGGTTTAATACAAGAATATATTTGGGGGGTGAGGGAAACAGAGGTGCTTAATGTGATGGTGTGCCCTATTCCATAATAATAGGCATGAATAAGATGTTTAAAAAAATATAGTAAGAAAGCCTATATAAACATATTAGCTAAAAATAACAGAGCCGAATATAAGAAGTCAAAGTTAAAAGAATTGGCTAGACCATCTGGGTTTGTGTAAGTGCACTGTAAGATTTTCGAGTAACGACAAAGTCGTCTAACAATGCGTTTCTCAGAGCATATCCCTGTCGTTAAGCTACAGATGACTATACTAGCTACGGGATTTTGAGTAAGTTATTTAACTTAATTGAACCTCAGTTTCCACTATTTAAAATAGAGACAATATTAACTAATTTAATGGATTGGAATGAGAATTAAATGAACAAAAGAAAGCCTTCATCCTAGGTAGAGGTATATTAGAGCCACTCTTACATCTTACTTTTATTTTTGGTGATTCTCTTCTCCTGGTCCCAGCATAACCCACCTTTATGACTTTATTTCTTTGGGGAAGAGTTTGCAAACTCATTTTAATTTTAGAACTTCATGCTACTAAATTTTACAAGAAATTCTAACATAAACAATTTAAATTTAAATTTCTATGATTGAAGTGCACCATTAAAATAGTATATAAAATGAATATGAGATAACATAGAAACAACTTTATGCTATAGTATTGACTTTTCACACAAGATATTATACATGCATACAAAAATACAGAAGGAAAAATATTGAAAGAATATAAAGATCATATCTAAAATGCATTAGTTGTTTGCTCTGGGTGGTAAAACATAGAGTGTTTTTTTCTCACTTTATATATATGGATTTACAAAATTTTGTAATAAACATTGTTTTATAATCGAAAGAAAATAAGCTTTGTAAGGATGATAAATAATGTGTTAAAATTACTTCTTCCTTAAAGATGAATGATATCAATGTTAATGCCGTTAACTAAATATTGATTTAATAGTAAATAAATATATATATTAAATACAATAATAAACTAATATTGATTTTAAAATTTTAAATCAGTTTTTGTGCTTGTGATTATCTTAATTTACTTTGTTTTCAACACTAGTTTCTTATATGCCCAGAAGAATCATGAATGAACATTTTAAACTGGAAGAGGTTGAGCTGAAATACTCAACTTATATACTAAGGAGGAGACTTTAGTTAGTAATTGAGCAATAATAATCAAGGCAGATTAATGGCTGTCTCAGAAAGTTCATTGCTGCGGGCCATTAACCCTAGTACAGCAATTAATTCCCAAGGAAATGCCCTATGCTTCAGAGGTCATTTCTGCAGTTAGAAATTATCAGAAGTAAAACCACACCAAAATGTCCATTGTCAAAAGGTAAGCATGCCATTTCTACTCCTGTGATGGTTAATTTTATGTGTCAACTTGACTGGGCCATGGGGTGCCCAGATATTTTGGTCAGACATTATTCTGGGTGTCTGTGAGATGTTTTGGGATGAGATTAACATTTGAATGAGTAGACTGAGTAAGGCAGATTGCCCTCCTTACTTTGGGTGGCCCTCATCCAATCAGTTGAAGGCCTGAATAGAACAAAAAGACTGACCCTCTTCTGGATAAGGGGGAACTCCTCTTGACTGACTGTCCCTTGAGCTGGGACATTAGTCTCTTTCCTGCCTTCAGACTGGAACCAAAATATTGGCACTTCTTGAGTCTCAATACTGCCAGCTTTCGGACTAGAACTTATGCCACTGGCTCTCCTTATACCATACAGGCCTGCAGATTGGGACCGAAACTATATCACTGGCTCTCCTGGGTCTCCAGCCAGCTGACTGCAGATTTTGGGACTTCTCAGCTTCCTTACTGAGTAAACCAGTTCCTTATAATCTATTTATCTATCTATCTATCCATCTATCCATCCATCCATCTATCTGTCTATTCTATTGGTTCTGTTTCTGTGAAGAAAGCTAATACAAATTCATTGTTTTGTATATGTATAAAGGGAAATACTGAAAACATGCACACTCAAAAAATTGAACAACTAACAATTTTTTAAACTTATGAGTAGTATTCATTTCTTCCTAATGTTGTGGTTCAAAATCCTTTTAAAAGAAAGAAGAAACTAATATTTATTCAGAGCTTATGATGTGACAGCTACCTTACATATACTACTACAGTTAGTTATGTTACTGCCTTTAGTTCTCCAGACAAGTGGTGAGAAATAAGGAATATAAACCTCATTTTATAGATGACAAAAAAATGAGATTCACAGTGTTTTAAATCAACTTGCTCATACACAGACAGTAAGAGGAACCTAAACTGATCTGACCCCAAGATTTCTGTCTTCAAAACCCATGATATGTCTACAGTACTTTATTGCAGTCTTTCTGAAGATCTCCTTTTAGACTAGCACATGACAAAGAATTCTTACCAGCATTCATAAAAAAGATCCTTCTTATAGTGATTTAAACAGATACTATACTAGTATATGGTATAATAATTTAATATAGAGAAATTAAATAATCAAAACATATTTACAGTTAAATTCAGTGTCAAGTAATATGACAAGAGTATATATAGGTATAATTTGAGAGGACATTGATATTACCACCTGAAATTTTATATGTTAAAAATATATATTATAATAAAAAATTAAAATTTGACTTTGGCGTGCTTCTTAAGACATAACTTCTAGCCATAGCAATAAGATATGAAAAAAAGATATAACTCTTTCAAGGAAAAGGAATTATAGATTAATTTTCTTTGGGTGCTTGAGCATTTTTATTTACTCCTCATTTTTTATAAAGAGCATGCATTATTTTCATATTCATACAAAAAGTAATTAGCCAATGATTTAACATTAGGTGTTTTTAAGGCTTACCCTGTCCAAAGAATTTTTAAATCAGAAGTTTAGAGAGCAAGTATAACATTTGTTAAGAGATCAGCAAATTGAGTGGTTCTGTCTTAGGAAATGTAATGTTCAATCCAATATTTATTTCTTTGTGGAGATTTATTTATTTTTTTTTTGAGTTCAGAAAATATTACTACAGATCAAGTCTTCAGTGACACTTATAGGAGATAGAGAGGAGACTGAGAAATGATTACCACTGGAGTGACCCTGTTGCTAATTATACATGTTGGGCTAAGGACATCAACGAATAAGTAATCTATGTATTTTTAAACTTTCAGAAATATTGAAAATTGCTTGTCTTATTTTGTTTTATGTTCTCTGCTTTGTCAGGCTCACTTCCTCTTTTAAAGTATAAGTGGAAAGCAGTGTGTTTTAGTAGGTGCAAACTGAAGTTGCTGGAGGGGTGTTGGCAGAAAAGAAAACCAAGGGGAAAAGGAGAGTTTTCAGAGACAAGTGCTTGTCAGTTGATTCTCATTTCATTGCTCAGTCATGTATACCTCTCAAGAGGGTTATTGTTTGAGAAGTGAGAAGTGCCTTAAGATAGGAATTTAATCCATTTAGTATTTGTTTTATTTGCATATTATGCTTGTTTTCTTTTTCTTTCTTTTATTTTTTCTTTAAGATATTGTGGACTGGAAGCCAAAGATCTGTAAATTGTATTTAGTATTTAGTAAAAATAAGATTAGTGGAAAAGAAATGGATTTCCACTTAAATTCATTCATCTTACGTAGAAAATATATGTGAAACATTCAGCTGCTAGCCTCAATTAGTGTCGCATCCCTTTTTTCCTTGACATTGTACTATCCATATACTCATCTAAGTTCACCTTTAAAATTATCCACAT